GAATAACGAAAACCGAATAACATACGATAAATAACAAATAATAAGTAACAAACAAAGAATAACAATAAAAGAATAAGCAAATTTTTATAAAAATAGGAATATACAGCTCAATTTACACTATTCAAATATGAAATCTATGTACGCTTTTATTGCTATATTATGATTCTTCAATTTAATTTTTCCTACCAAATTAGCTTATATTAACATTTAGTACATGTTATAGATGGAAGGTTAGCAATTGTGGGAGATTACACCTAATAGTCCAAAGCCCCAAACCTACTTCCCAAATAGGAATGTAGTACAAATGAAATTTGTAAATAAATAAATAAAAAATGCCACCCATATGTAGATTAAAAATTGGAGATTAAGTCAAAACGGCACTACTAAAAAAACCTCCTTTTTCGGACATATTATTTCGGTCAAGAAAAAATCTTGACCCAAAAAAAACATTATTTCAGACATAATGACTGGTCGAATTACAAAAATATCCATTTTACACCATGTTCAATAGTTTACTCGATCAAAAATTATTTCAGTTAAGCATATCAACCAAACTAAGGTGGCAGGTGTTACCGCCATGTTAAGTTCGGTCAAAAATGCTTGACCAAAAAATAATTCGGTCAAGCATACTGACCAAATTAATAAAAAAAAAATCACATACAATTTTTATTAATAAAAAAATATAATTCAATTTATTTTGGTTAGTAGTGTTGACCGAATCAATTAGGCATTTTTCCTTACACAGTTCTGTCATTCATATTGACCGAAAACAATGGCTATGGTGATGATTTGATGGAAATTTTGATGGAAATTCAGGCCCTCACGTTTTCCCTCTTTTGTTAGTTCGGTCAGTGGTTTTGACCAAACAAAACTCTCCTGGTTATGATGCAATTGAATCCGATGAAAGTTGCAGGTTGTTACGTTTTTTCCTCTTATCTTCGATCAGTTTTATTGATTGAACAAAACTCACCTGGTTATGTTTTTTTTGGTCAGTGAGCTTGACCGAACAAATGGAAAACTAGCCTTTATGTTTAATTGCCTGTTTAACTTAGGGTAATGAACTGGCAAAGAATAAGGACAAGTGAGCAATATTCCTCAGTATCAATTAGGCATTTTAGTTTGTTTGTGTAATTGCTTTGAGCAACTTTTCTCCATGTAATGAATTGAAAGGTATCCCCTCTCTCTATTTTTTCAAATAATTAGTTACTGTGACAATAGTAATTTCAGCTTGTAACTAACATTCATTCATTCACTATTTCAGCCTGTAACATGTGTAAGCACAGGGTTTGAAGGAGAAGAAAAAAGTGGTCATTGTTGGATCAGTGAGAAAAAAACCATTTTCTTGTTATATTGCTTGCTTTACAGAAAAGCAAGTAGCAACAAAAAATGAAAGTACACAAAAAAGAAAAATGAAAAACAAAAACTGAAAAATAGATGAGGGGCAGTGCCGTGACTTGAACCCCTTAAGCAAAGGAAATGCAATAAATAGAGCACATTACCACTTGTCCTTCAAATTAGG